AACCTTTGATGCCAACTGGTCTACCGCAGAAAGAAATGGCAACCTACTGCGGGGAAAATCTGACTCGTCAGTCATGTATCAAAAGATACATGATCTCCTAAGCGTGTATCACGCATGGCACATAACTGACTGCCACAACTAGGTTACGCTTAGAAAATTATCATTAAATTAGAAAAAATAAATGTACGGCGGTTAGCGGACCACAACGAGAAATCAACGAACCTCTTTTGTAACATTCACTTTTGCAGATATCCTCTTGTGAAATGTATAAATCCAGCATTTCTTCCTCAATATCTAGCTATGGGTTAGGTGCAGACTGGCCTCTCAAGCAGTTTTTGACAACCAGTGTAGACGAACGACAACTCAGCTTTCAAAATCATTGCTAACCATAGCGAAGTGTATTGTTACGTTCCGTTTCATCCCTGGCTTCATGTCTCCAGACCCTAACGTCACTTCATAGAGGACTTTTTTCTTATTTGTTTTATTGTATAAGTGACAGAAACGGGTAACATTGATTATAGGAAGTAGCTTAGTATTCTGCCCCGTGCGGGCTAGCTTTTCTAGGATTCAAAATGCTTATGTTCCTCTGTCAACTTCGTCGTTTTGGTCTTATATCCTAAACTTAGGCAGTGACAATCCAGTCAAAATTCCACACCCGCGAGCTATTCTGACCAGTCGATCGCCATCCTGTCCCAGCCTCCGCATTCTGTAACAACACAATATGCAGCCAACGAAAATGGAGTTCACAATGACTGTATGGTTTCGCCTGTGGTTGATCTCAGAAATGGACTAGAAGATACAAATACAGTCAATAATACAGACTGAGCTTCACTAATCCTATATCCTTTAATCGAGTCACTGGTTTAGCGGAACTGTCAAACCAAAAGTAATTAGTGTGAAAAAAAGATGGAATAATAAAGTACGTAATTGATTCAGATGCAACAAACATGGCATAAACCTCGCTCAAATTAATTTCTGATGCCAGTAGAATCATATAAAATGAATTTGAAATGATAGAGAAGTGGTTCTAAAGGAGGATGCTGAGAATACCATGGATATATCAGGTGAATAATGAGGAAGATTTAAGAAAAATGGGAACAAAAAGCACGCCTATATCATTTCTGGGACACGAAAAATCCAAGGAAAGAAAAATTTTCGATACACAGGGCCACATACCGTGGGACGAGGAAAATAAACGAACAAACGACTTCTGAATGGCAGGCCAGTGACTTAGAGATATTGTAAAGGAATAAACGTTGCTACAATTTACAAGAAGACGTGGGGAACTATAAACCACGTCCTCAGAGACACGGAACATAAAGTTTTATTCGCGGTGACATTACACTTAGCAATATTAACCTTTTTCTTAGCTCTCAATTTTGATTTTATGATGTTTTTGCTTTCATATTTCAATTAAATGTTCTCTGCATAAAATAGATCTATAAACAATTTAATAATTACTTGGAACAGATAGCTTTAGTTTAACTTGGCCTTATTCTGTTTATAATCTTCTCATATATACCATTTTGTTTTTGTTTTTAAAATTTTCTAATCCTTAAGAATTTTTAGTATTATAAAGCAACATCTGATTGGTCCTTGTAGAATTTTAGAAAAATATCACTTCAAAGGCTCAGAGTACTTACATTTCAAACAATATAATTCAAATGATTCGTTTATTACGGTTTATCAACCCTTTGCAGGTTATTTAAAAGCAGAAAATATGTTTAGATTTGTTGTAATGGAATGTCCCACACTCCCTATCGCCTATGTGAACTGACTATATCAGTAGCTACAGGATGTACCTGAGGGCTTGCTTCGGCAATTAGTTGGAGATTCTTTTCCAGCTAAGCTAGTCGAACTCTCTGCCTTCGGGCAGAGAGGAACCCAGACAAGGCTACGCTGAAGGGCAGAGTCTCGTCTGGGTGGTAGACAGCTACCCGACCCAGTTCTTTACGGGGTCTCCGGGGAATTTTTGCCCAAGCCAACGCGCTCGATTTTAACCCGCATTAAAAAAAAAACTTCTGTCACATCCTGCCTCACGGGGTAGTGAGGTAAATACCTTTGCTTTGGCAATTAGATTGAGATTCGTCTCCAGCTAAGCTGGTCGAACTCTCTGCCTTCGGGCGGAGGGGAACTCAGACGAGGCTATGCCGAAGGGCAGAATCTCGTCTGGGGTGATACAGCTACCCGAACCTGTTTTTTAGGGGGTCTACGGGGAAAATTTTGCCCGAGCCTACGTGCTCGGATACCCCACGTTAAATTCGGCCTTGTGCCACATCTGACCGGGTGGAGCAGTTGGCAAATACCCTTACTTTGGCAATTAGTTAGAGATTAGTCTCCAGCTAAGCTGGTCGAAGCTGGTCGAACTCTCTGCCTTCGGGCAAAGAGGAACCCAGACGATGCTATACCGAAGGGAAGAATCATCGGGATGTTTGTGGAATTTAGAAAAACTGAATAATTCAAGTAATGTATGGTAGCTTGTCTTGAAAATCAATAATTTCAATTTAGGCCGAAAAGCCACAATACCTAACCTTGTTTTTCAAGGTAAGCATGTACAGGTAACTCTTATTTACTATGCCGAGCTTAATGTTGAGCAAGCAATAAGTAACCATTTTTTTTTGACGGATTTGATTTTTACGGTTTATCAAACTGTAATGTTTTTTAATCAATTCAACCCAAGCAAGACGATAATACAACGATAAGGGAACCTGGAAGTGAAAGACATTGATAAAACTTTAGAAGGAAACGAAAATTTAATCCTAAATAGGAAAAAAAGAATAAACCTTTATCCTTGTTCGGGGAGGTGTGTGAACCGAACGATATCTACTCCTATTATTTAAAGTCAAACATATATGCGATTGTTAGAATAATTGATATTTTTCAAATAAATAATGATTTAACAGTCTTTTTCTTAGAATAACAATTTACAATTTAATCCATAGCTGGGGGTGCATTCATTCCTTTTACAAGATTATTTGTAAGTGAAAATTACAAACCCAACTAGACACAATAAGTATCGAAATCTCTACACCATATTAACGGCCAAAGATATGAGTATTATCCGACACCGAGACGCGCAAAAGGTCGATTTGACTATTAAGGAGAAAAAATTCTTCTTACAAATTCTGAACTAACCTTATACCTGGCTAAATTCAAATATATATATTCATCCATTCGCTTATGACGGGCATTACAAAAACCATATCGCTACAAAACCAGATCACTCAGTAGGTTGTTTATTCTATTCCTTTGTCTATATAGGTTTTATATATTTTTTATTTGACTAGCGACGCATAACAAACATCTATGAAAAACATAACAGGATGTCATCCTTGATGGTGAACATCTCTGTTGTAATCTCTATATAAACCATACGTATGATGGCTCATGTCAGCCGAAAGCTGAGATCGAGGAACAGCATAATAAAAAAAAATATCCAAACTTTGGGCAGTTTTTGTCTTTATTTTCATTCGAAATTAAAACAACTATACAACGCTTTGAACGGCTCTTGATCAAACATAATAGACATTCGCTGTCTGTTATATTTAATAATATATGTTTGAATAATCATCCGTTGCCCCAATACACTAAATACATATATATATATATATATACATGAAAGATTTCTTAGAGTTAACCTGTATATTACAGTTTTTCTTATTGTCTTTTACATTTATAAATATATATATATATGTGTGTGTATGTATATATATATATATATATGTATATATATATATATATATATATATATATATATATATATATATATATATATATATATGAAAGAAAAGATATATGGCAAATTGTACAAATCGCGATAGATCTTTTCTTTCAAAAACGATTCTTGATATATAAAAATCTATATAAAAATCTATCGTTATTCAACATATTTATATATATATATATATATATATGCGTGTGTGTGTACTTTATATATATATGTGTGTCTGTGTTTTTATATATATATATATATATATATATATATATATATATATATGAAAGAAATGATATATGACAAATTGTCCAAATTGTCTTTTCTTTCAAATGGTTCTTGATATATAAAAATCTATATAAAAATATATATATTGTTATCCCATAGATATATAAATGTATATATATATATATATGTGTGTGTGTGTGTGTGTGTGTTTGTGTGTGTGTGTGCACTTGCCTGCGCACTTGCGTATATATGTGATAATTATTATCATCATTGTCATTGCATCAACGATTTCACATGTCCTTCCAACTCTTTCTGTCCCATCTTCACGATTATTCATCACAGCTGTTATGTCAGTAGTTTGTCATCCAGTGTTTTCATATATTTGACGATTTGGACATTTTGAATGGATGACCAGTGCCAGTGTTTAAAGGTTTAATGAGCAGGTACTTCTCGGAAAGATTCTGGCCAAATAAACCTACTACATTTGATTCTCGGGTTCAGTTTAACTAAACAGGCGGGGTTATATTGATCACGATATACATGCCGATTGGACAATCCGTCTCTTGAGATCGACCGTCGGGGAGGTACTACTATTCCCCACCTTTTGCAAAGCGAGCTTCAACATGCTAAATCCTTACGTTTGTCTGAGGGGATATACGGAACGGAGAGAGAGCTTTTAAAGAAAAAAAAAGGGATTTTCATATCGACTCTATTTCAGAACTAGTGAGGAAATGCTAAATTTCTAATGATGGGTGTAGGTCGGCCAGAAAATGCTCTAGTTATTGGAGATGGAGATGTAAGTCGTGTTGAGGGAAAGTCAATCGATATAAACGCTTTCTATCGAATCCCGGCGAAGAAGTACGCCTTTGATGTTTTGCCAGCAGACACTGAAACAATTGTCGGAGCGCTTTGCCTAGAGAAAATGCTATTTCCTCTTGGCTTGTATCGCACTGTGATTTGCGGGCCGATATAAAATACAACGGAATATGTTGAAGAAATAGTAAAAATGTTGGCAGAACCAAAAAAGGAAGGAACGAAAGAAAGAAATTGTTATTTTCGATTAGAAGAAAGAAAGAAAGAAAGAAAGAAAGAAAGAAAGAAAGAAAGAAAGGTAAAGAAAGAAAGAAAGGTAAAGAAAGAAAGAAAGAAAGAAAGAAAGACAGAAGAAAATATGAAAATAAATATTTATGGAAAGAAAGAAAAAGTGAAGAAAGAAAGTGTGAAAATGAAGAAAGAAATGTGAAAATAAATATTTATGGAAAGAAAGAAAAAAGCAAGAAAGAAAGTAGAAAGTGTGAAAATGAAGAAAGAAAGAAAGAAAGAAAGACACTCTTATTGAAAGAGAAAGGGAGAACGCGTTGACTGTTGACGGAAAAGAAAAGAAAACAAAAAGAAATTAAAAGCTAAAGATATATATTAAAAACTTATGTAACTTTGACAGTAGAAAAAAAGAAAGAAAGAATGAAAGAGTAATGGCAGAAGAAAGAAAGAAAAGAAAGAAAGAAAGAAAGAAAGAAAGAAAGAAAGAAAGAATGTGAGATAATGAATATTGAAAGAATTAAAAAAGACAAAGTGAGACAAGAAAGAAAAAGAATAAAAATTTATGAAAAAAAGAAAGAAACAAAGAAAATGGATATTAAAAGAAAGAAAGAAAGAAAGAACGGATAATGCGTGGAAATGAATATTGATAGAAATAAAGAAAAAAGAATGATAAAATGTGTGAAAATGTGTATTGGTAGAAAGAAAGGGCGAAAGACAAAGTGGAACAAGAAAGAAAGAAAGAAAGAAAGAAAGAAAGAAAGAAAGAAAGAAAGAAAGAAAGCGGGAAAGAAAAAAGAATGGAGAATGTGTAAAAATGATATTGATAGAAAGAAAGAAATAAAGTACGAAAGAAAGAAAGAAAGAAAACATGAAAATGGATATAAATAGAAAGAACGAAAGATCAATGATTGAAAAGCTATACCAAATAAACGAATGAATTAAGTTTGAAGAAAAATATCAAAGGAAAAGATGAAAAAATATAAAGGAGGGAGAACAAAATGTAAAAATGTAGATCTAAAGAAAGAAAGAATGTTTCTTATTATTGTGTCGAAAAAAGAAATCATGTAAGTAAAATTATGGAAATAAAAAAAATTATTAATATTCAGCGAAAGAATTAAAAACGAGAAAATGAAATAAGTATTTTGAAGTTAAAGAAAGGAAAGCATTTAAATTATTGAACAAAAGTTACAATATTCTTTGTTTTCAAAAGTGAAAGCGACCGAAAGATTTTTTTTACATTGCATTTAAGAAAGAAAGAAAGAAAGAAAGAAAGAAAGAAAGAAAGAAAGAAAGAAAGAAAGAAAGAGTAATAGGAGGAGAAAGAAAGAAAGAAAGAAAGAAAGAAAGAAAGAAAGAAAGAAAGAAAAAGAAAGAAAAGAAAGAGTAATGGAGAAAAAAAAGAAAGAAAGAAAGAAAGAGTAATGGGAGAAAAGAAAGAAAGAAAGAGTAATGGGAGAAAGAAAGAAAGAAAGAAAGAAAGAAAGAAAGAAAGAAAAGAAAAAGAAAGGAAGAAAGAAAGAAAGAAAGTGTAATAGGAGGAGAAAGAAAGAAAAAGTGTAAAGAAAGAAAAAGAAAGAAAGAAAGAAAGAAAGAAAAAGAAAGAAAGAAAAGAAAGAAAGAAAGTGTAATGGGAGAAAAGAAAGAAAGAAAAGAAAAGAAAGAAAAAGAAAGAAAGAAAGAAAGAGTAATGGGGAGAAAGAAAGAAAGAAAGAAAAGAAAGAAAGAAAAAGAAAGAAAGAAAGAAAGAAAGAAAGAAAGTGTAATGGGAGAAGAAAGAAAGAAAGAAAGAAAGAAAGAAAGAAAGAAAGAAAGAGTAATGGGAGAAGAAAGAAAGAAAGAAAGAAAGAAAGAAAGAACGAAAGAAAGAAAGAAAGAAAGGGTAATGGGAGAAGAAAGAAAGAAAGAAAGAAAGAAAGAGGATTTCAGATTTGACAGAAACAAATAAACGAAGACAAGGAAAGAAAAATAGACAAAAACTGAAAATAAAGAAAATCAATTAGAAAAATCGAAATCTGCAACATCTACCAATTTCTACCAGGCACTTCAATCAAAAATACCCTCTAGAACCATTCTTTTTTGCGTAAACATTTCATATTTCTTTAATGAGGCTTGATCTTTGACGACTTTCCAGATATATGGACGAAGGCATGTTAAATAATTATATACCCAACCAGCTTACACGCTACACCATTTCTCAGTGTCCTTTAACCACTTCAAGAAATAATTATGATGCTTGAAATATTATTCATCACTGTCACCTCCGAAATATTTGAAAATGCCCTTCCTTTATATAGTTTAGGTTAGATATACCTCATATTTCCACGTATAAAGCGACCTACAGATAAAACGAGACAGAGAATCTGAATAAATTTTTGTTTTACCTGATAGTCGTCGTATAAGACGACCGAAAACGTAAGCTAGACTACGTTCCAGTAGCAGTTAGTCTTACCGTAAGAGTATAAAATAAATCTGTCGTTATTATACATATATTATTACAAGCGTTACGTTGCTTACTTTTCTCGTTATCAAATCGAAAGGAATAAAATAATATGAAGCATTAACATGAATCTTTCTGAAAATAACAATAACTGTTTCATCCTTACAACTAGTAAGAATAAAAACAAAAGTTGCGTATAATTCTGCAATGAGAAATAAAGATTTTATGGCATCTTCAATGTTTTGTTTTCAAAAAAAATAAAAGGATAATGCATGTCATTGAAAAATAAAGTTTGCATGTGTAGTGACAAAATTACGCACGTGTAGGCTTCAAAAAAGCTTTATTCAACTTAGAATACAAGGTTCGCGTATAGTGTCCTTTTATAGTCCCAGTAAACAGAAATAGCTCTCTAAAAGAGATGAGTAACGAAACAAGGGGAGATCACTCTTAAATATTCATAACAGCATGTTACACTAAATGCTGTTGTTATTTATCTCTTCAATGATAATGAATTATAATTATTATTAGATATAATTGTCTTGTTATTTAACAATACTATGAGGAATAATGTGTGGTATGAACACACGTATAGCTCAACAAATCAAGAACGAAGTTTACTTGACTTGTTACTTGTGCGTGTTTCTCAGTGAAACCTTTGCAAATTATTGTCTAATCGTCTCTTGAATATTGCATTTTAATGTGAAATCAAGAAGTAAAAGTAGTTTTAACAGTTACTAAAATGTATACACCTAGAAATCAATTAACCAATGACTGTGGTTAATTTCCTGTTTAAGTTTGCAAGAAAATTTATTGGCTAATAAGAAGCAAACCAATTACCCATTAGAGTCAAAATACCTTGTTAGACATATAGTTTACAAATCTCTAACAAGAACGTGGGGATAGTGTGAAAACGTATATATTTAGTCTATTGTGTGACCATTTAAACATATATAGATTAACTAGGCTCGTAAGGGACATGGTGAAATTATTTTAGCTGCAGGGATTGAGGAAGCGTAGAGCATAGTTTAAAATCCAGTCGATTTCCTTACATTCATTAAAGTGCTAATACCCTTCTGAAAGGTATATATCCATCTCTTCTGCAAAGCCATGGTTAAATAGCAGAACAGACTGGGTCCTATATATTGGGTGCAATCGGAGAAAGACAAATCTGATTTCAAAATCTGATATCCTAGTACACAGACACACACGACACACACCATATCCGGTGGTCTTCGACTGTAGGTCAAGTGATTGGAAAAGAGATGCTTTGTAAACTATATGTTCACCCAGGAATTTTCAATCCAATGGGTGACTGCTTTTCTTCTTGCAACCTGAAACAGGAACACGTGTAAAGTCATCGATAATTGATGTATAAATGTATAGATTTATAAATAAAGGGTGTTTCATTAAGACGGATCAAAGTCAGCAGTAAATAAATCAGTGTTATTGGTGAACATTTATTTATTTCTCTATTGGATCATGTTATTTAAGTCATGGCAATTCTGTGTGAGAATGAATATTGCCCAAATTTTCGGCAACGCTTCGGCGGCACACCTCCACTCGATGGTCAAAATTTTTGATGACGTCTCTGCATAGTTGCTCCTCGTTCTCACCAATATGCCATATTATCTTGTCCTTCAGCTGTTGAATTTTTGTTGGCTTGTTGACATAGACCTTACTTTTGATATGACTCCAAAGGAAAAAAATCTAAAGGCGTCAAATCGCACGATCGTGGTGGCCAATTGACTTCGCTGTTTCCAGGAATGATGCGACCTGGGAACTTCTCATTCAAATTCTGTTTGAACGTCCATTTTCGTAATAGACTTTGATAATTTTAATACGTTGATTGATTGTTAATCTCTCCATTGTTGAAATTGGCAAAGACTTAAGTTGTTAAATCTGAAAGAAAAAGAAAAAAAATCATTAGATTCTTAAACTTAATTCACATTTAAAATCGGTCCAAGTTATTTAACACTTTTAATTATTATTAATTAATTATTATTAATTAATTACAGGATCATCTTTCTGACGCCAGGTTCCCACCCCCGACGATTGAAGCAGTCGAAGGAATAATTATGATGATGAGAGTAACCGTAATACCAATTTTCTAAGCGCAGATTAGATGTGGCACAAGGCTGAATCTATAGGGCACCCAGTGAGGGTCAAACTCACTACTCAGTCGTAATTGATCTAACAAGACAAGCTTTCTAACCATTACACCACGCCAAGGTACCCTGATTTTCTAAGCGTTGCTTAGATGTGGCACATGATTGAAAGTATGGGGCACCTAGTGAGGATCGAATTCACTATTCAGTTGTAATTTATTTTTAAGAGAGACCAGCTTGCTAACCATAACACCACGTAGAGGAAGCCAAAGAGTAGCCGTAATATGTTAAAATGAATAATAGCTAAGTATATATGCCACTTTTGGTAAAATGAAGAAGAAAGCCAAAATATTAGCTGCAAGCAAGATTCGAACTCTAACTCTCATGAGAATTTGTGTGTGGGGGGGGTTGTATGTGGTTCTTTTTCTTTGATTGACCCGTATAAAAAATCTTTCTGTTCCCCTTTTATCCATATGCTCGCATCCTTACCATTCTTGGCATCGTCACACGACATTAAATGTGTAGAGAGATTCCTTTCCTCCTGACAGGCCCAATCATTTAATTTTCTTTGGTGAGTACAAATTACCAAGTGTAATTTGGAATTGTTGCTATTTGCCTAGAGGACCAAAATGGTGCATTGGTCAGATTTGAAAGTCTTTCGATTCGATGTGTTTCAAATAATGTCTATCCAGTGTGTAATTATTACGGAAATAAATTTCTATTTGATTTTCAGGGAAAAAAGAAGTTTCTTATCATTGATAATTCACACACTCTCTCTCTCTCTCTCACACACGCACACACATTCCCTCTCTTTCTCTCGCATTCCTTGTCTCTCTCATTCTCTCTCTTTCATCCTTTCTATATGTCATGTCCCTCCAGGATGTGGGCAATTATGTGTCACCACAGCTTCCTGTCTGTTGTTACTCTTAGAATAAACCTGTTTCTTGACAAGCACTCTTTCCATTCCAGCATTTATTGCTTTGCCTATTTCTTCCGACTTGTCAAATATATCATTCGCTGTTTTTATATGTTTCCCTTGAATCTTAATGTTGTATGTTTGGGTAGTAATCCTTCTTTTATACATGTTTCACTTAATACGACAGACAAGGAATGTTTTCTTATCTTTTGTTGAAGATTTTAGCGTTCTTACAATGTTTCTTTTATGAAGACTGTTCAGGACTGTGCTTTTGGCTAATATCTGCCATTTGTAAGATGTGTATTCTGGGTAATTTCCGTTGGTAGTGATTCTGGTTTTGGTTTCCTTTGCAGAGTTGCGTGGGAGTAGCAGTAATTCCATTCTTATTCGAGTTTTTGTTTTAATTATCAGGATTCACTGACAACATTCGAAGCAAGTACTGTTAAGTGCAGAGTTTTTATTGGGAGTGCTTCAGTTATCTTCGATCGTTTTTTTTTTTTTTGTTTATTTTACAACCAGATTTCTTTATATATTAGTATTATCTACAATGATTTTTCTTGTCCGTACGGAAGGTTCCAAGTGAGGGTCTAGATGTTTTTGTATCGGACTAAACTCGCTCAAGTGGTCGATCAGAAGCCTACTTAACGACATTGTCCTGTGACCAACGTATTTGTTTTTAGTTTGAACTTCATTTTCAGGAAAGCAACACTGCAATGTGTAATAAAACTTGTAATCATCCTTCGAGGTTTTCGGTTTGGATTTTATAGGCGGAGTGATATTTCTAATTATATGGTTGTAATTTTTTTTTTCTGTAGAACACTGGGAGTTTTATGCATTTTTGTTAGAAACAAAGAAAAAAGTACTGAACTATTACGTGATATCTATCCTCCTATATGGCAGTGAATGTTGAACGGTCATCTCAAAGATAAAGAACAGATTTGAAGCAACAGAAGCACGGTTCTACGGTAAGATGCTGATGATACTATGGACCGAATATATGAGTAACAAGGAAGAGACAGTTGAATTTTCTAGGGCATATAATGAGGAAAGAAGGCTTGGAAAATCTGATACTCACAGAACAAGTTAAATTTAAGACGGACAAAAGAAAAACAACGCATAGCATAATTAGTAGGCTTGAGAAAATGGATGGCGGAAAACAAGGATTAGGAAAAATAACAAAAAAGACACAATTTATTAAGAGCTACGAAGGAGGGGAAATTGCGGAGAGTCATGATCGACTACGTACTGAGGGGACACGCCTTAAAAAAAAAATTGGGGAACAGTATAAAAATATGATCTACACTACATCCTGAATGACTTAGCACATCAGAATTTGTAGAAAAGTGATATCTGTCATCCTATTTGACAGTGAATGCTGAACAGTCGCCTCAAAGATAAAGAAGAGATTTGAAGAAACAATAATGTGGTTCTACAGGAGGATGATGAGGATACCATGGACGAGGTTTTAAAGAAAATGGAAACACATTCAACGACGAAATTATTCGTATACCCATCAATTTTGTATTTTTTTTTATCCATTTCTCAGAATCTAATGGCCGTATGATGCCAGGTTTTTTTTCGTAAGCACCAAAAAAGAAAAAAAAAAACTTTCAGAACAATAGGTTAAATGCAACAAATTTGACAAGCGAATTATGCAAAATATGAAAAGACAAAATTATTGGTACAGTATAAAAAATAGAAAAATTTGAACAATTTTCACAATATTAATAATTAATAACATGGCCTCTCATTTTTGATGAGGTTTGAGCAAGTCTTTTCTGGAATTTTTTTTTTCATTCTTCAATGATTACACGTTCTAATTCTTGAAGGTTTTTTGGTGACCGACGATTTATTTGAACTTTCAATTCTTGCTATAGATTTTCAATAGGATTCAAATCAGATCTCACTAAAGGCCATGGCAGAATTGTAACCTTCATTTTCTGAAACCATGCAGTCACTGATTTAGATGTATGTTTAGGATCATTATCTTGCTGCAAACTAAATCGCCTACCTAGATGAAGATGTTGCGCTGATACTTGTAGATTTTCATCTAGAATTTTTATATCATCTGCAGACTTAATTACTCCTCTTATTGCAATTAATTGTACAGTTCTTCTTGAGCTAGCACAACCTCCAAACATCATTGAGCTGCCTCTATGTTTTAATGCTGCCACTGTGTTTTTTGTGAGGAAAACCTCACCTTTGTTGCGCCAAATCTTCAGTACATGAAATGTTTTATATATATATATTTAGTTTATGAAAAAATTTTTTATATATATATATTTAGTTTATGAAAAAGCTCAATTTTTGTTTCATCACTCCAATAACGTTTTGGCAAAATTAAACCAGCAAAATTGTGATATGGTTTGTGAAGAGCGGTTCATAGTGGCCGGTTTCCCATATCTATTTAAACAATATTGTATTGTACGAGTACTTACGCTGATACCCATCGTATCCAAACTTTTGGCGATGTCTTTCAAAACATATCTTGGGTTTATATTAACGTCGCGACACAGTTTTCGTGCAGTTCTCTATTGACTATTAATATTGTGAAAGTTGTTCAAATTTTTCTATTTTTTATACTGTACGAATAATTTTGTCTTTTCATATTTTGCATAATTTGACTCAGATTAGTTGGATTTAACTTATTGTTCTGCAAATGTCGGTTTATATTCTTTTTGTGCCTTTAACATATAAAACGTGGCGTTATGAAGGCATTAGATAGATAGAAACGGTGTGGATATAGGAATCAAGATCAACACAACATAGCGATCTTCAGACCTAGTGTCACTACTCCTAGAACAGAATATATATATATATATATATATATATATATATATATATATATATTTTATATATATATATAAATTTTTTATATATATATAAATTATATTTTAAATTATATTTATATATATATAAATTATATTTTATATATATATATAAATTATATATATATAATTTATATATATATATATATATATATAAATTTTTATATTTATTTAAATTTCATATATATATATATATATAAAATTTTATATATATATAAATTTTATATATATAAATTTACACATTTTTATATATATATATATATATATATATATATATATATATATATTATATTTAGTTTAAAAAAACTAGGTAATCCGTATGGGTAGACCCAAGAAGGATAAAATCCAGAGAGCTCAATGTAAGTCCAGAGCAAATAATTTAAATAAAAACAGACCACTTTAAGTTTCCACCTTAAAGTGGTCTGTTTTATTTAATATATATATATATATATATATATATATATATATATATATATATATATTCAATAACCATAATTCAGTAATAAATAAATATATTATATTAATTTGCTTATATAATTTTTCTTCTAAATACAATTTTTTAAAGAAAACCAGGATAAAAGTTTTATATATTTTACATAGTTTTATTTTCTTCTTTTTTTTTTCCTGATTTTTTTTTCTTTTTTTTTGGGGGGGGCGGGTTCAAATAGTTATTTTTTCACCGGAATATTCTCGCTGTTTTAAAATGTCTGCGAGCTTTACGATGATAAATTTTAGCAACAACCCTACACATTGCCTACATATGGCTTAAAAGCTCTTCAAAAATCAGCTACAAGGGCCATCGAAAATGCTCCGTCGGGCTTCTGAAGAGATTTATTCTTGTTCGAACCCTGACTTTTGAATAGCACGCTTGGCTCGTTTCACACGGTCTTGACCGAGCTTTAGGTTGACGTCTTCCACGGCCATTGTGAAGAGTAGGACGTTGGGCGGTTGTTGTAATGTCAAGCAACTCAGAATTTGAACTCGGAGAGCCAAGTTCAAATTCCAGTCGAGTTCCTTACATTCACTTATGCACAAATACATTTGTGAAAGTTATGAAACCATCTCTTCTCCCCCCCCCCAGTTACGGGTTTAATAGTAAGACTTGGAAAATACTCGTTATTCTCAAAAGCAAATTAATGCAATATTCTCTCACAAAAATATTTTTACAATTCAAAAAAATTATTTAGGATTTTAAATATCACAAAGTGTAGATAAACCGTAAAAAAGAAATCACTCAATCAATTGATAAGTAGATGATTTAAATAATATAGCATATACATTACTTGAGTATATTTTTTCAGGCTTCGTACATATGTATAATAGATTAAAAGCGGCCCTATCGGTCGGCATTTAAACTAGCTCTTGCAAAGGGTTCTTCATTGGGCCTTCATCACCATAGGTAGATAGGAGTAGATGCGATAAACTACAGAAGAACTGAAAATTTATCGCTGCATTTAAGTATTGCATTAATATTTAAGCTTACCTTCTAGAAGTTCAACGATAATTCTTCTGCCGCCACTTAATTTAAAGACAATTTGATGTGCGTAGGTCCTTACTTTCCGTACAAGCAAGTTATAAAAATTGTTCTCATACAAAAAAATTACGTAAAAAAATCGCCGAAAAAATCGCAGTAATGAAAATTTTGGGAATCCAATATTTCAGGATTGCGTGTAGGGATCTGGTCGGGAATGTTTTCAATTTACTCACAGAGTCGGTCTGATTCCAAAATGGTA